TCATACAAAAATTGCTGTTTTGAGGACAATATGAAAATTCAGCTACCCCAAGAGCAGTATCCCCCGAGCATTAAGGCGAGTGAACATTCAGTTGTTGGAAATTCTTGATCTATTTTTAGTCCAGTGTAGAAAAAATGAATGTTTATTATATTTTCATGTGGAAGGTCTCGTGCAACATAACTTAGTATGATTTTTAAAATGATTGACCACGACCACTTATAGGGCTAGTAATTGTTACATCATATAAATGTGAATATATTATAATATCCAAATATTAACATATTTATCAATAATTATCAGTATAATATACGTAAACCATAAATTTCCTTGATTGTCCAGCTCTGATTCTGTGTCCCTACATTTGCATTTTGTTATTCTCAGTCAAAAATTCAACAGCATTCTCAAACATTTTACGTTGTGAACAAATAATTTTGTATTGATCAGTGTATATTAATTTAAAAATTTTGAAATATACAAAATTTGAAAGAAGAAAGTGATTGTGTTCAATCCCCCCTCGATTCTTGATACAACCTTACACTATCCTTACAAAGAAGTGTGGATCAAGTTGCATTGTAAAGTTCTTGAAGTGTTGAAAAAAAATTTGTTGTCAAGAGAAGTGTTGACTGGATCGAAATCAGAAATGACTTAGGCCTATTGGTACGAAAGCTTGTAAGTGATAGGAATCACGAGGAATCTGCAGGCGCTCTTAAATTGCATAATTTTACAACTTTTCTCACTAAAATATGCACACAATGTGATTTCAGATGATCAAGTTTGAGAAATTTCTTGCTAATAGAATGACCTTTCTACCCTAAAAGACAACAAATCTATACGAGGTCACAAAATAAAGAGCTACATGTCTTGAATATCAGAGATTTTTTTTATACCCCCGCTTGAAAAGCGGAAGGGTATAGAGTAATCGGTATGTCCGTCCGTCCATCTGTTACGCTTTAGGGTACCCATCTCTTGTCCGCAACTCCTCTCATACCACTGAATGAAATATGATGAAACTTTCACAGGATCTTTATTACATATTGCCATTGTGACCTATTTTACTTTTTGATCCGACACATATTTTGGGTTTCCCATAGCAAAACATGGACACTGTCATTATATTCATATGGGAGACCGGGGTGTCATTTAGTGAGAAAATTGCTCACAGTACCTCTAGTTCATTTTGCATATGGTTTTGGAAAACAAAATAGTTCATTTTGCATATGGTTTTGGAAAACAAAATAGACTTTTCATATTTGTACATAAATGTGTTGTTCCTTGAGTGTTGGTTGATTGATTGTATATTGTTTAACGCTGAGTGGGCAATTTTTCAGCCATGTTTCGGCGGACTAGCAGTTTAAATAATCGGTTTTTTGAAGAATTTTGGTTTCTCTGGCGGCCCCCAGTGAGCTTACTCTTTTTCGAACTCCAGAGAAACGATCTTTTACATTCCAAGGGGGTTGTCATCTTTGACACGGGGCACCATTTTACTTGAGTGTTGAAAATACCAAAATTCCGAAGACAGACTGAAACATATAGCAAATAAAGTAGCTGGAATAGATGTTAGGGGATAATACTAAGTTCTTATAAGTGCTAAAAAGCTGGAACAAAGTGTTCGATGAAATTGTACAAGAATTTCTTCAGTTATATTTGATGGTGTGTTGAGGGATGTTGAAGAAGAAGTGCGAGTTGATAATGACAGGATTCGGGAGTGATTTTAGGTGGACGGGGGCTCAAAGGCTTTGGAACACGTACGGTCACATACGAAGGGGGAAATTTGGAAACTCTTAAGTCAAGTTTGTTTTAACTATTTCCAGAAAAAATGAATCTTTTCAAGTATTTTTTGTTAATATTTAATGGACTAATCAATATACTATATATACTATATGTATAAAAAACAAACTGTAATTTATTTTCTGCAAATCGAACCAGAATTAAGCAGTTTCTACGAAATTCGAGTGTATCAGACGTCATTTTGAATCGCCATTTTGAGCTAATTAACACATTTCAAAATTAAACGACTAAATATTCCGATCGATTTAAAGTGATCAAATTAGTGTTCTGTTGGCATTTTACATAGTTGTACTACGCTCAGTAAGATATTCACAAATCCTTTCTCCTATGTAAACGACATTAAGAAATAATGTTAAAAAAGATGAATATCCGCCATTTTGAATCGCCATTTTGACTTTTATCTTACAGCTGCGCCATCATTCAGTTGTAAAATAGTGAGATGCAGAGGAAAAAATACAAATCTGCAGTGTATGGATATTTACAAATGTAAAATCCTGAACAAAGTAGAATATAGAACAATATACCAAAAAATCAGAGAAAATTCGAATTAAGTGTAGAAACGACTATATTTTCTGGGTTAAACTAATAATGTTAGCATTCTAATATCATTTTTATACTTGTATTACACTCAGTGAGATATTCACACCTTATTTCTCCTTTTTGAACGATATTAAGAGAAAATTAGAAAAATTGGATGTCCGCCATTTTGACCCCTTTAACGCCATTTTCATGAAGGCCAGCATATTTTTAGGGATTCAGCATACTCGAAATAGGTTAAAAAACTATGCTGGACAAAATAATAATAATTTGCCGTTAGAAGTATTTTTTTTCTATAAATCGGACCAGACTATATTCAATTTTTGAGACAATAATTTATTATTAAACTTTTGCATGTCAAATTTTCACGTTTTAGTACAGAAAAATTAATCTAATAAGGTTGCTTAAAAACGAAGTTATTGTTTTCATCATCAAAATATTACGGGATAAGCATTGCGTAATAAAACAGTTAGAAATAAAACACGTAGGGTCTGAAAAAGAATTCTCAAAAATGTATCTTATGAAAACCTTAAAATCAGGATTTGGTTTGTTTTATATCAAAACTGCTTTTCTGCTGACTTGATATGTGATAAACTATTTCTCGAAGGGGAATGGGCACCACCTATTCTGTCTATGGCACGCCAAATTCACAAAAAATGAGCGAAACAAAGTTTCACAGTTGATAAACTAGGTTTATCGACCGTAAACTATAGTTTACAAACCGTGAACTATAGTTAACAATTCGTTAGCTATAGTTTTCATCTGTAAAACTATATTTGTTTATCATAGTTTAACAAATCGTGAAACTATATTTATCAGATCGTTAACTATAGTTATGAGTTTTAAACCATAGTTTACAAATCGTGAAACTGTATTTATAAGATAATCTATGTTTTGCAATCGCAAATTATTGTTTTCAGTGTTAATTTAAGTATACATCTGTAGTTTGAAACATAAATTATCGCGTTAACTATGGTTTACAGAAGAAAAAATATAGATTAACGTTGTTAACTATAGTTTACAGTCCGTAAACTATTGTTTACAACCGACAAACCTAGTTTATCGACTGTGACACTATGTTTAGCTCATTTTTGTGAGACGTAAAAATAGGTAGTGACTGTTCCTTCACCAAGCGCTCGGCATCAGAAGTGGAAAGTCACGGGTCTCTCGGATATGACCTTAAAAACGTAGGTCCCGTGTCACGGTAGGCGCTGGCATGATAAAAAAAACCCTCACTGCTCAATGACCCTGAGTGCCGAGTATAGGTCTAAATTTGAAGTCCTTCACCGGCATACGGTGACGTCTCCATATTAGTGAAAAATTCTCGAGAGGGACGTTAAACAATATACAATCAATCAATCATTTTTGTGAAGCATGTTACCCTTAAAGACTTTAGGGATTGTGTATAATCTTTTACGTGGAGCCATGTCTGCCAGAATGGAATCGTTAATAAATTCAATATCCATAGTGGATAGATACAGAGCGACAAATATCCTCGGGGACAGACAGGCCACCAACAGTAATGCATGTATCTAAAGAGTGAAACAAGAAGATAAGTTCATTGTATGCATCACTTTTGTTGACATTTATTGATGAAAAATAACAGCATTAATGTATACTGGTACATGCATTGACCTAATAAAGTTGCATCGTTCTTTTGATTAATCATTAGCAATGTAATGAAAAGCGACAATTCTTATTTGAAAGTTTGTTTTCCACATGCCATCCAGCTCAAACCCACTCCATACGTTTTCGAAGCTCCCCAAGTATTCAGTCGTATCCAAAAAGTTGACCTGGTGATGTACCTTAAGTCAGTTCTAATCCGTGTGTTTTCCCTATTCGATGTGTCGATTGTAACGAGCCCATAAGTTATCATAGGTGACTCCTCAAAATGATTCTTGAATACAACACGTCTGTCTTGTGGCCAGCTGTAGGGATGGCCCGGAAAGTTGTATAATTTAATCACCTGTTTCACCTATTGTCAAAATTTTAAAAAAATATATGTAGCGCAATGAATTACAGCAAAAATACAGACTGAATTCGTAAAACTTATTTTACATAATTTAGTGTTATGACACCAAATTTTCTATTTTTATTAAAATTTGTTGGAAGACTATTGTTATATGTCATTCCTCTATAGAGAGTTCGATCGAATGCGTTAACCACTCATGGATATCATATTCAACATATTTGTTCTAAGAATGTGTTTCGAATGTATGTGTTCCGAGGTCCGTGTTGCAGAATATATAATAATTATATATAAATTCGCTAAAAATCTTTTTCACTGCTCAATTTTCCCTTGAGTGTCAAGTAAAGTTATGAAATTTTCAGCCCTCCACCGGAAAAATGGAATCATAATATGTGTGAAAATTGTTGAAAGGCGTGTTAAACAAAAAAACAAACAAATTTCTAAATATTAAATTACTTAAATTTACCAATTTTTTTAAAAATAATTTGCAGATGTCAAGAAATAGAGTATAATTTTTTTTCCCGACAGCACAGGGTGAAAGGAGAAGGGGGCTGGTTTTAATCAGGCTGTAAAGCTTTATGCATGTAAAACCCATGCTTTTCACGGGAGGTCAATTTTTACCTTTTATATTTAAAAAGGAGAATATTACTTACTCAAATTTTTTTTGGGGGGGGGGTATAATTGAGAATTTAAAAAAAATACTTACATACAGTATATCTCCCTGAAAAAAATCAAACACAGGAAACTGTTACATATCTTTACAATATAAACAATTTAACATTTTAATGTAAACCTAGAATAGTAATTGATTTCTTATGAGATATAATGAAAAGTTATACTTTTATCAACACAATTCAATTAATAATTATATGTCTTACGATTTTTTAGTGCATTGACTTCTTTTAATAGCGCTTTCCTGCTTTCCTCCAAATTTCCAATTTTTGATTTTATTGCATATACTTCGCTCAAAAGATGAAAGAGTAGGTCATTTCCTGATTTATCCAACGTTTTGTTTTGCTCTTTAACAGCTCTGCTCTATGATAAATATGCAAGCGGGTTATTTATATTTAAAAAAAAGCTGTGGATAATATTGATAATAAATGTACTTTTTATTGTAACATCGAATCTAAACAATAAAATATGTTCAAATCAATAAATGTACTTGTTCTCTTTTACATTAAATTCTCAATCGAGATCAAAATGTTTATTTAGCATCAACATGGTTTATAATGTTTGAAACGTGTCATATTTCTCACTACAACCACACAAATATTTTCAAATCTAATTAAATCTAAGTAAGAAAAAAAATGATTTTGAATTAATATATTTGATTTCATTGATTCAATGCATATTCTATCTCAACGAGCTTTTCGAAAACAGGATACTTTTCTCTTTTCCCTCCTGCTCTCTCCGTAAATTACGTTTCTCACAGGATTTCAGACTTGGGACGAGACCAATACAGTAAATACAGAGCTAAGCCCCGCCCTGTATCTCCAAAATACGAAACCCCAGAAGGCTCATTCGAGATTCAAGTTTCGAAATACGAGATTCGAAATTCGAGATTCGAAATTCCAGTTTCGAGATTCAAGATCCAGACTAACCAATCAAAAGCGGGTTCAACATTTGATTACTCCCCTTTATTATGTTTTTACTATCAAGAATTCGTTTAATATATTTATAACAAATGGGTCATTTGATAATATTACAATGCAAGAAAGAGTGTTATACATATAAGAAGGAAATTTAAATAATTATTAAATTTTTTGATCAGCAAGATATACTTCAATTTATATTATAGCTTCTTATTTGTATTGTCTACTTTGTTTAGAGGGTTGATGACATAATAATAAACTTATAAATAAGTGTATTTATTTAAGTGTTTAACGATTCACAATAACACCACCCCAACTCACCCCTCCTGTCCATTTCTCCGAACACAATGAAAATGTTACTTTGAAAAACTTGAAAGGCAACGTGGTATTGATAAACAAAAATCGTGTTTGTTTTCCTAATAGAGGAATACGTTTTCAATTATTTATCTTGGTCTAAGGCTTTGATTTTTTTTAATTAATTAGAAATTATATGCACAAAACAGATTGGCATTATGAAATAAAATAATTGCGGCATTTATTTTATCTGATATCAAATAGTAGAGAAATAAAGATTTTTGGTTTTATATTTTAGTCTCTGACCATTGTGTTATGGTCAAAGACTAAAATATACTAGTAAAACCTTATAACGATACTGTTCGATTCAGCAGTAAAGTCTCACTGCACTAAAGTACCCTTTATAAATGTAATGAAATATATACTCTTGAATAACTGTGCAGTGTAGAGACGATTCTTCATACCTCATATCTAATCAATAATAATTTTCTCCCTCATCAGTGATCTAATAAAAACTTCGTCGACCTATTTATTTCGCAATTCAACGAAAAGACCATATAATAATCTTTATTATACGTATTTACTGTTTTATTTAATTACAAAAATAAGATTGTATATATATTTTTCAAAATATAATCAAAATTTTATTTTTATTTCGTTTCGATACATAGAACATTTTTTCTTGCATTATAATTTTAGCAAATGACCCATTTGTTATAAATATATTCAATGAATTCTTGATAGTAAAAACATACTGAAGAGGAGTAATCAAATGTTTAACTCGCTTTTGATTGGTTAGTTTGGATCTTGAATTTCGGAACTCGAATTTCGAATCTCGAATTTCGAATCTCGTACTCCGAAACTCGAATCTCGAATGAGCCTTCTGGGCTTTCGTACCAAAACACTAGGAAACTGGTACTCTTAATAAAACTTAAAATTCCAATTCAGTTGGAAAATATTTTTACTTCAAACAATGCAAATAACTGTAAATTATATTCATCACATACATAAAACTACACCTACATTTAAATGAACATGAATAAGCAATTTCTGAAATTTTAAGCCTTCTCTGCAAATGCAGGCCATTCGAGCTTGAAAAACATCGGTTCGGTTGTGTCTGCATAATATGTAATTGGCATACTTTATACAGTGAAATTTACGCTTCCGTTTTATTTTCGCCTCTTTCGCCTTTCTCACAGGTGAGGAATTTAAAATGGATCAAATTCAAAGAACACAGTATATAAACAGAACTGTGACTGCATGACGAATTTAAAACGGTGGAAAATTGTAAGCAAGTGTAAAAATGCAAAAATAATGCAGGGCGAAAATTGTATTGAACTCCTAAAGTAATTAGTCCTTTATTCGTGTATACAGATTATATATTGACTACTAATATCGTTCTTGGTCTATATGTCTTTCTGTGAAGTCGATATACTAGAATCTAGGGATCCATTTCACGAAAGTGGTATATTTATATTAAAAAATAAATTTGCAGATACATAGTATACTATAGAAAACAAGGCTTTCTTTACGTGAACAATGGAATTACTCAATGGAATTACGTCTTATGTATTTTTTTGGTAGTATAAATATTTATTTTGGAATGTCTGTCCCCAAATAAATTCAATTACTGTGTTCCCACTCCAACACACTCCACCCATGCCTTCTCAGGGCCTAAATGTAATGTCAAGTACACAGCATCTCAAGTATGTAACAAAATGTATCAGATAAATCATTAAAAAAATTACTTTCGAACATACCTCTTTATAAGGATACATTCCAGCATTTGTAGTAGAACACAGGTATGCACTCATTACCAGAATAATAAATACACATTTCTGCGAATTCATAATTCAAACGCTGAAAAAAATATTCCTCATAATCCTTATCCATGGCTATGATTTTTTTTAAATATCAATGAAAAAAAAAAACAGCAAAATATCTTTAAATTTTCATTAAATTATATGAATTTTATCACTTGAATATTTGGAATTTTAAAAACTTTAAATCGACAATTAACTAAAATTTTATCGAAAATGCATAATTTTTTTAACCTTTTGAATTACGATTTGCAATATGATTGAAGTTCCTTAGATGCTGCAAAAACCAGAACTCATTCAAAACTGAAACTACAGTTCAGAAATAAAGCCCGAACTGATGTTGTCAGTATCCTTTTCATTTTAATTGGTTTATGAAATTTGACCCAAGTCAACAATTTCATGCAATTATGAATCATTCATATGCCAGACTACATGTAATCATCTTCAAACAAACTAAACAAGAAATATATGTAAATTATTTAATGGATTTTTGCGAAGAGCTCTGACCTTCACAATTGACCGTTTACTTTGTTTAAACATGTGTCATGTATGGAGGTAAGGAATTGACAATAGAGAAGAAGAATTTCTAGATTTCAAAAGCACCAACATACATGTATGAAGGGCGGAATTTGAGGGTAGGGTAGTTGTCAGAATCTTCATGGGCAACTTATACAATGTATGTGCTTTATTTAGCCCATTATTTTCGTTTATTTTAATTAAATGCTGAACTAAATATTTTTATTGCAAAAGAGCTTCTGAATATTGTTCAAGTGTAAAATTAAGCTAGTAAGCTGTCGACTTTGAAAGTCAAATAGGAAGTCGTTAACTTGTTCAAAAATCAATTAACGCCAAATATCGTACACACTGAATGTAATTAATACATTTACTGTATAATACATTGCTTAAATGTATGGGGCGCCTTTTGAATATTTTGAAGGTATATTTTCTGATATCAGAAAATGATTTTTTGATATCTGAAATTCAGCTGGATTTTTTTATATCACAAAATAAATTTTTTGATATCAGAAATTCAACAATATATAGTCTAAATTAAGGCTGATGCAGATAACAAATTCTCTCCAGCCAAGATTGTTTCACGGAAGTAGGTCATCCGCTGTGTTTGGATTTTGTACTATTCTCTGGTGAATTTGTGGAAAATATCAAACTTGAAAAAACGAGGGTTACAAGTTTTGAATTTTGAATTTATGATGAAAAGAAAACATTTTACTGAAAGCATTAATAGTTACTCTATTATTTATTGGATTTTCTTAGAAATCCTTTCCTAATTATATTAACAACAACTGAAGGAGGCTGCAAGAAGTATTCGGAATATCGACAGTTTTATAACTTAGCATTGTAAACGCAATTATTAATTTCTTAATTTTATTCATATATCTGAATTTATCTGTACAAAATGCTAAAACATACACAACAATTTAGGCTGAATTGAAACAACCATGAAGTGATAACATTAATCACTAAGCAGAAGCGGAATCAGTGTTCAGGATGACTCTATTGAAACGGGAATAAGGGAGAATTTCTTAAAGTAAATCTATCTATTTCATTCATATTTTCTGATATTTTCAAAAATTTGAAGGCATTTTTTTATATCAGAAAATCATATTCTAATATAATTTTATATCAAGAATTCAATTTTCTGACATCAGGAAATCTATGTTAATTTCTGGTATCAAAGAATAGATTCCCTGATATCAAAAAATCATTTATTCTCTTTCATATCAAAAATTGATTTTTTGATCTCAGAAAATGATTTTCTGATATCAAAAATTCAATTTTTTGAAATCAAGAATTTTTTTTTATATCAAGAACTATTTTTTGATATCAAGAATTCGAATTATTGATGTCAATAATTCTCATTAATTGACAAAGAAATTAATAAAAAATCATATTCTTCGAAAAAAATCCTTCGGACGTATGCTAATATGCAAATTAATAACTAGTAAGATTTCTGATATGAGTTTGATAATTTGCGGAAATGAACTTTGCTTCCGGTGTGTTTGTGTATGATATGGCGTGTGTCAGGGTGAGGTTGTATAAAATTTATATCAACTTCCATTCGGAGTCATTGATAATGATAAGTGACTTTTTATCAGTTATTGCAATTCGAGTTTGACATTTGTGGTCATGATTGTACTTGCATTGCACGCAAACATATATCAGGGACTTATCCTACTCCCCTCCTTATATTACACACAAGAATTAAGGCATGCTTATTAATAAAAATTCTAATGTTTTCACGAATCTGGTAAATATGGGGGCATATTTCTCCACGGAAGCTTACCCCTGCGAAATGATCAAGAATAATTCTTGAACTTTAAAGAAAAGTTCATGAATTATATTCTTGAATCAGCTCATGAATTGTTCATGAAGATCCCATGAAGTTAAAATTGGACACTCATGATTTCATGGATTTTATTCATGAAAACCCAGTTCAAGAATATTCAACAACTATTTGTTGTTCATGAACAAACTTGGATTTTTTAAATGCCTGCAAAATGATCAAGAATAATTCTTGAACTTTCAAGAAAAGTTCATGAATGATATTAATAGGTTCAATGCATTTTCATGAACTATTCATGAATAATTTGTAAAAGTTATTTAGGAATGTTCATGAACTATTCATGAATGTTCTTGCTTTTTGTAAACAAAAATGTAATAAGTTATGCAAAATGAAAAACTGTAAAAGAAAATATTTTAATAGCATCTTGAAAGATTTCACAGAATTTTTGTTTTCCAATCATGGTAACGAAATCTTTGTTCACGTAAACAACTCTGAAAAGTGATAACGATAATAAATAAATTATGTAGTTCATTCGTAGTAAAATTATGAAAAATTTCAATTCAAACTTGACTCTTTGCAGAATCCTTAACCTTAGTGGCTTACTTGGTCAAGAGGAAAGTGGCTTCCTTATTCAGTGTATTTCAAAGTGTATGCCTAAAATGGAATGATTTTTAATCCAAGTCTCACTGTCTGGCAGAAAAGTGTGTTCAGCAATTAGGGCATCAGCTAAAAGGGCTTTCAAGGATTTTGAGCAGAGGTGGTCAAATAAAAAAATCTTATTGGCTTTCCCAGGAGTGTGGAATTTTCAAAATTTCATCACTTGGATCCTTTGATCGATTACGATTCATATTTTCATTCCTTTCTTTTGTTTTTCTTCAAGAGCCTGGATTTTTTATATTCTTTTTTTGGAAGCCAGAGTTTTTTAATCTTCTGATCTCAACTCATCAACATTATCTGTGAACTGCTTCTCTTTTCCCTACAAGAATAAAGATTTTCTGAAAATGCTCATAAATGTGAAATCTTCATACTTAATTGTTTTTTTTGTTTTTTTTTTTTGCATATTTGTTTCATTTAATTTTACATCATAGGCACTGCCATATTTTAAAGCATTCCGAGCGGGAGTTTAGCCTGTTTCCTTTGCCCGCCATGTTCAAGATGTTATAGGTGAACAGGATGAATGTTTCAATCTTTAATAATTAAATGTAACGTAATTTGGTTGGATCCTTACTCATAACAAAGTTTGACAAAATTTTCATTAAAAAGGACATAAGTGAACTCTTACAGATAGACAGTAACATCTTGACAAATATCTCACAGATTCAGCGATTGCCTTTATTTTTTTGTAACTCACCACTAATATCTGCAGTTATGAAGTAAACTGATCCTCTGGATATTCCTTCTTCGTATTCTGTTATTTTCTTCAAAGGTTGACAAAGAATGACTAGATCTACGCTAATAATCCTCCAACTCTACCGATTTACTTTCCAACGTCTCGCGCGTTTCAAAGTTTGCGCCTTTTAAAAAGTGTCATGCAGAGCTAATTAAGAAATAGTTTCGAATTGCCAAGATTTTTGTTAAACAAAAAATAACAAACACTATCTGAATGATTGTTCACTGAAATTAATTTTTTTAAATTAATATAAGTTATATCATTATTGAACTGGATTTTTTTTTACATTATACCTGTAGAGCCATAGTTTCGTATTCAAGTATGGCCGCCTCCATATCACACCCATTCTCAATATAAGGGCACAAATGCCTCTCTGATTTTTTAAAAAATGAAGTTCAAGATAACAATTTTTCTATCAATTACCTTTGATAGAAAGTATCTGAAGATTTTGTTTCCAGATTTTTTTCATCAAATTATAATACATGAAATAATGACAAGACGATAAAGTAGAGGGTAATTTTATTCAAAAATGTAGCTTGAAATGTACGTTACTCTTTCTTCAATGTCCAAAAAAATATGTCAAAAAAAATGTAGTCATTAAAATCACAATTGGAATATCTCATCTTAACACCAGCACATCCTACCAACTCTGTCAGCAACATATTTTCTCGGCATACGAACGTGCGTTTGATTTTTCCTTTCAAAAAACAAAGGTTACTTTTTGATCCAGATGTGTAAAAACATTTTTTAAATATATGCTTTAAATTCTTCTCTCTGTTTTGTTAAGAGCGATCAGTTTGGAATCTTGTCATTTTTAATAGATACTGGAACCTAACATGTACATGTAGTAAAATTCTATTTTGTAGTTACTGTCTTTTTTAACATATATCCATGCCGATTTAGAAAACTATGTAAATGTAACGTACATTTCAAGATATATTTCTGTTTAATAAAAAGCTTAAAATTCATCTAAAATTCATCTAATAATTCATCGTTTTGTTTCAGTTTATTCCAAAAAAGATTCTCTATGTAATCACGTTGTGTTATATGTCACAATCACCACTATAAAGACACGATTGCCTCAGAATATGAGTAGGTAACGTACATTTCAAGCTTGTAATAATATGTAAATTAGTAATAAGAAAATATTGAAAAAAAAGCAATTATTGACATAAAAATCATATCAATGAAGCGTTTTAACGCAGTAATATAAGAAATCATAATGTAACAAACGAGGTTATCGTCATCAACTACATGAATGTCACGTCACTTCGGTAACGTTCATTTCACATATTATTGGGGAGTCCCCTCCACCTCATTTCATAACCATTCTTTTGTGCTGTTTCGCTGAAATTGACACCGGTCGTAGCCTAGTTACTTCTAACTGTGTGCAAGGTTACAGACAAAAAATATAAGAGTCAGATGTATTTTGCTATGATCTAACAAATGTTCGTGTTTGGCCATTGAAACTTAACATAAATCTATTCCGAATATATCCATTGACAGTCTTGTTAACAATTTCATTTAGTATGTTGCAACATCGTTTTTCAAAACACAAACATACGTGCTTTTCAGCAGATCTGGAAAAATATAACCCA